CACTCTTTCGATATGTGGCATCACTTATTCACGTTACAACACAATATTCTTTTAATTCTGAATTTTGTTTAAATAAAGCTTTCTCATCATCGGCTATAAACAATGTGTCTAGCTCTCTCATCGCATAACTTATTATCTGATGAGAAAAACAAACATGTTGTTGTTTACAAAACGTATTTGTGGACACAAATATATGTGCCATTTCAACTTTTATTCATTTATTTTAAATAGTGCCAGTTTGCCAAAACTTTCAGAGGCAGGGTATGGAGCCGCAAAACAAAAGGCCTTATAATTAATATAGATAAAGCCTAAATATATTCGATTAAAGTTTATCTATGCAGGATCCTCAATAAGTGAAAAACATGCAAGTAAGTACGTACTTAATTATGTGTACAATCGATTCAGGCTATCTTTACGCGTAGAAGTTGATGAACTTTTCCAAGGAAAGACTAGAGGAAACTTCCTAACGGAGATGAGAGGCATTTAATTAGAACTAATAGTTGTACTGTCCACCCTTTAAACCTTGCTGCTTTGCACGATATGATCTTGCTGTAGTTCTGGTATTTAATACTAAAAACTCTGAGTACTTATGTTGAGGAATAAAATCGTAGCATATATATATATAAATCCTTATGATTGAAAAGAATTAAATTAAATTGTCCTTGGTTTGAGAATCTGATAAGTAATGTAGTTATTTTTGATTATTGGGTTGCCGACATCATATTTCGAAAGGTTTATAGTAGGGAGATGTTTTAGCACTACATCAACATGTCATGTGATATTACCGTCACACACAATAAAATGCTGGTTGTTCACAAAAAGTACCTAACAATACTTAAATACATAATCTATAAGCTTAGGGTAAGTATCCACGTAACCTATAAGATTATGAAAAGATTAAGCATGTCACTAAGATGCATGCAAGGTCTAAATTATCAAGGGTTCAAAAACACAGAAATATCGGGAAATTATCGATATTGGTAAAAACCACGGAAATTGTAAGAAAAACTTGAAAATTATGATTGAAACTTTGGAGGATGTTTATTTAGTCAAATATCTATTATTTTATCACAAAAAATGGAAGGAAATGCATTGCATTGTGTGTTTGACTAATTTAAGTTGATTATATTGCAAGTTGACAAACACTGTTAGTGTAAAAAATATGTAGTAATTAATGAAAGAAGATTAAACACACCATAATCATTTATTTATAATGATTTACTACAATATTTTACACTTTATACATTGCATGATAAGATACATGAGTGACTTAGTACCACATAGAGTTTCTTTGATGTTCAAAATTTTTAGTCTTCATCATCTCTAGCTATGTGTAGAGTATGTGTACTGTGAAGAGTAGTCATCAAATGATAAATTCCTAAAATAGTTTTGCATGTAATGGTTAACATGCTAGCCATATGGACAAGAGACTGGTTGAAGATGCCCATAATCATTTGAAGATTGGGTCTCAGATTCTTTCAATGAGCCATTTGATTCCATCCCAAATGCATGGGATATGAAGGGCAGGGAAATGGTTGGTTTTGCGTATAACAAAGTCATCAACAGTGTGGTGGATAAGGCGTTGGAGGAAGAATGGAAGTGACACAGGTTGGAAACCCCATGTGTGTGCGCGTATAAGCCTTTTCATTATTTGTTTCTATTCCATGTCCATATCATGCTATTATCAATATTATCGCGATATATTAACCAAATGTTGATGATAATTGAAGGATATTATCGATATTTATATGATACGTACACAGATATATTCCAAAATATCCCCCTCCCAAAAAACGATAATATCTCCGATATTTCAGCGATATTATCAATATTTTTCAGTCCTTGGGTGCATGTTATAGTGGTTGAAACTTGGATTAACTTGAGCATGCATTGCTTATCATTGTTAATTTTTTGTTGTTGTTATTATTTTTGTTAAGTATTACTATTGTTGTTATTTTGTCATTTGGGAGAGAAAAAGAGGAGGTTGGTCAAATATCTCTTTCACTTTCTCTTTTTGTCTCCCACTCTCTGGGCAAAGGGGAATTGGGATAAATAAGTCGACTTCGAAATTCTTGACTGATTTTATTCCTTTATATATATATATATTTTTTTTTTTTTGGGTATGGACTTTATTATTATATTCGTTGACCCTCTACAATTCTAAGTTTATTTTTTGGTGCCATATACAATTCTGATTGGTTGACTTCGCTGTTCTTCAACTTATTTTTTAAGAATTTTTGTATGTGGCATGCTCTTAATGAATATTTAATCAGTTGACATCAGTGTTTTCTCCTTATACTTTTCTTTCAAATCGTTTTTTGTATGGGGCTTATTATTATTATTATTTTTTCTGGTCTAATATTATTAAAATTACTTGACTCTATGATCCTATATTTTCCTTTTTCCATATAAAAAATAGCTGACTTCCTTGTTCTCAACATTTTTATAAGCAAGTTGACATTGCACTGTTTTTTTAAAGGTTCTACAACCAATCAACTTCAGAGTTCAGTGCTTTGGGAGGAGGAGGAAGAACCTCCCTTCTAACATTAACTATACCTGTGAGCCAATAGCATGAAGAAATCTGGAAGTCATCTATTGGTTCTCTGTAATCTGGTGCCATGGACAGTGATGTGATACCAGAAGAAAATTCCCAAAATGCCAACAGTAAAGCCATCCATGAATATATCTGTGTTGTGATTGAACTTTTGGGGTCTTACTCTTACCAAATATATGTAAACTCAAGTTGATTTTTTGTCAAATGCAGTAGAAGGGTACAGTAAGTATTAATTAAGAATTGCTAATGCATATCGTGTATATTGTAATTTGTAGTGCCACATCTTTTTATGTGAAATTAATCCATTGCACTCATTTACATCGAGACACATAACCTTAAGATCATCACTGTGACATGCACCATCCATTGCAATAATCACACCTGTCCAATGATTCTTACAACTCCGTTTTTCAATCAGGATTTAATCTAACACCGATGTCGTCTCTAACTTAACCATTTAGGTATATCAAAGTTACAACTTCAATAAACTCAAAGAAGTGCAGGGTTTTTAACTTAATAGGCGCCAGTGTATTAGTAGTGGATCACCGATCGAATGTATTGTGTCATCTTCTCGAAATGAGATTAATCTATCCACATCCATGACTTGTATTGAGTCACACAGTTACTGACGTTGAGAGTGTCAGACAGACTAAAGTCCACAACTGTCAATTTTCATATGATGTAAAGTACTTCGGTTTCTGTTTTGACATATTAATGTTGTTTTAATATTGACCAATATTTAATTCATAATGATTGCCATTGAACTTGGTCACTCTCTTAGCTGTACAAGGCCCCATCAAGGTCGACTGCTGCAGATCGTATAAAGATTCATGACCATTTCATGTCCCTGGTATTTGATTGGTAGTTAAGGAATTGATAAGTGAAATTCTATTTGGAATTCAAACCTGGGTTTGGCTTATCCTGTCTATAAATATGTCCCCCATTCATCTTTGTCCTAGAGCATCAAACAAGTCTAGCTTTCTTCACAATCATCACCAAAGCAAAAAAGACTGCTCTATATACACATAAATATCTTATATGGAATCTGTAGTAGCCATGGAAGATGCTGGATGGAGCTCACATGGTGGAATGTACACCTCTGATGAGGAGGCAGATTTCATGTCTCAGTTGCTTGCTAACTGTTCTGTCACAAATGAGATGAATGAGGCTTCAAGCTCTTCAATCCCATTTGCAATTTGTCCAAGCCATGGTTATTCAACAACTAACAGGGAAGACATTGATCAAGGATCACATTATTATTCAGATTTTGCTAATCTCTATTTTTCAAATGGGATTGATACTTATGGTACTGCTAATAATGGAAACTACTACACCAGTGACTCTCACCAAATTATGCCAACAAATTACCATAACTACGAGACGTCTCGAGGTCTTTGGGATGCCAATGGTGCCAACTTGTTCCTCAGTCAAGGTGAACAATTCGGCATGGATCATCACCAAGAATTGAGAAATGGCAATGTGGAAGAGCACTCTAACACAAACCAGACAGGAGCTGCTTTTTCTGAAAATCTTCTGCAGCTTAAAAGGGAATCTCAGCATGAGATGAGAATAAGGGAACCGGAGATGGAAATTGAAGTTATGGTGCCTGAGAATTCTAAGAAAAGGCCTTGCAGTTCAGTAGAAGTAAGTATACACAAGAAATTTTAGTGTTGCTCTTTTATGCACTTGGTGATGATTACTTTTTTCCTTTTTCTTTTTAAGGAAATGGGTTATGCGATCAGCATCTCTCATCATAATTGAATGACTAAATGTTTCAGGTTCAAAAGAAAAAGAGGAATGTGAAGTCGAAGAAGGGTCAGAAGCCGGTCTTAACCGGAGGCATTGAAGATAATGATGCTAGCACCAAAGGGCAGAGCCCAAGCAGTACTAGCTGCTCAGGTGATGAGGACTCCAATGCTTCTCATCAGGATCTGAGTGGAGGCGTGAGCCCTTCAAGCTTAAGTCCAAAAAGGCTTGAAGATCTCAACTTGAATTGCGAAAAAAAAGCCAGTAGGGGATCAGCAACTGATTCCCAAAGCATATATGCAAGGGTAAGCCCATAATCCAAATGTGAAAATATGTTTCCTATTTATCAATATGAAACTGATTTTCTACATGAATCTTGCAGAAAAGAAGAGAAAAAATAAACACGAGGCTGAGAATTTTGCAGAACCTTGTACCTAATGGCACAAAGGTTAGCAGCATATATATACTTCAATGGTAGCAGATTTGACGTGACTTTTGTAAGAGCTAATGTAAGTTGGTTTATTTTTGGTAATGCAGGTTGATATCAGCACCATGCTTGAGGAGGCTGTCCAGTACGTGAAGTTCTTACAGCTTCAGATCAAGGTAATAACAAAAGAAAGAGAAAAGAATGTTCGACACTCCACATTGGATGAAGTTTAAATCTAAGTAGGAATTTCCATTTGATGATCTAATAATAATTTTATTTCGGTTTTCGATTTTGCAGCTCTTAAGCTCTGATGATATGTGGATGTATGCGCCTATCGTTTACAATGGAATAAACATCGGAATTGACTTTAACTCTTGAAGCTAATCAATCGGAGACGGTCATAGAATGTAGTAGGAGGTGGACCTGCTGTTATAACAGAACAGAGTCTGTGGACTATGCTTGGTTAACTGAGGGCATTGTTTGAAATAAAGGCACACAAAGTGCTCAAATAGCAACTTGTTAGAATAAAACCAAATTGAAAATGTGATTAGTACCAAAAAATAAATAAACTAGTATATATCTGTAATTGTATTAATACACAATACATTCAAAATTAGACTACTGATAAGGGTTGTAATCTGTAAGAGTCCCTGTGTTTCACATTTGATGTGAGCAGGAAAAAAAGAAAAGGGAAGATCCATGCTGAATTAATTTTCTCTTGCAATGATAGCCTTGTCCTGACAGTAACAAAGTTTTATGTTTGTGCCAGAAATGAATGCCTTACTGTGATGAGCTTCATGATTTACTTGTACTGTTTTTATTTACATGAACAATACATTTATTTGTCGAAAGGAAAAATATGTACGTAGGAAAAGAAACATGATCAAATGGTACCAGATATATCTTAATCCTAACACATTTCACATCCCCCCTCACCAATTAGGGTCAAAACTAAACAAGGAAAAGAAAAGGGCTTGCCAACTAAAACAGAGGAGGAAAGAGAAGTTTTCCATGAACATAAAATCAGCAATCTTATAATAGTGACCGATATTCGACAGAGCATTTGCAACTACGTTTGCTTAGCTTAGCATACCAATTTCTTACAATTGATCTTGGATAGGAGGAGGAGCTTGATATATGATGGAAGAAAAGAATGAATCTGCCAAGGTGAAGTTGCTGAAGTATCCAACCCAAAAATCAGTGGAGAGGCTCAATGTGTATGGTTTTAGTATGTTTTACGTGGGTTTACCTAGAAATTTATTGCTGGTTATTTTAGGGGCGTAGAACGGTAGAATCGTCGTTTAAAGTTTAATTTTTAGGGTTTAGCTCCGAGGTTTCGGGCACAAGTTCCTCAGAAAACAAATAAAAATGTGACCCTAACTGTGTCACAGCAGCAACTATGTTAGCAATGCTCAGGGGATGGGATGGGAAGGAAAAAAAAGCAACAGAAAAGTCATGGGGCTGCTTCTGTAATCTAGAACACCAAGACTTAATTCTTACTTAATTAGCAATAATTTACACATGCCATATATATGGGCGCTAATAACTTCTTTAAATCAAATTCGTCGAAATCGGAGTGTAATGCACTCAGAATCATAACAAAATGATCAAGTGCTAGTATATTGTTAGTCTTCCTGAGAAGAATTCAGCTTTCGTTGTTCTTGATAATTAACAAATAAACACATTTAAAACAATATTAATTCTAAGTTCGAAAAAAAACGTATAAATTTACCCGTGACAAACGAGCTCTTGCCTCTTGGCCTCTGTGAAGTGTGAATGGCCATGAGCATGCAGTGCAGGGCTGGCTGGCTCTACCAACTTCCAGCTCTTTCAGGAAAAAAGAATGGTGGCCCAGCCGCCCAAGAATGCTAGAAATTCAAGAAAAATAAGAGGGATATTTTTCATGCAGGGAAGGAAATCGGATTTTAAAAGGGTTTCAAATACATTTTTTGTATTATTGTTGTATTATTTTTATGTTATTTTATAGAAATAAAGGAACATTATTGTTGGGAGAGTTCAAGGATTTTGTTCCAAATTTTTCAAAATCAAAACTCATGTCGTGCAAATTTTGGGCGGCACTGCAGAGCATGCATTATGCATTACAATAATATGGAAGTGCTCGTTTTTACGCGTGGAATGAGCGTGAACTTCGCCGGGATCTTAGTTGGAAAGATTTTTGAGTCTTGATGACTAGTTCTCTTCTTCACTCACACGTGTGTCACTGCCAAGTATTTTGGGATTGCCCATAATACAACTCATTTTTGAAGTTCCTTCTTATGATTAAGTTTTTTTAAAGTTAGATTTTGAACCATTGCATCTAATGTTTCATGATTTGATCCAACGGTTTGATTAGGAAGGAAATGACAAGGACGGTTTTGCCCCCCTTCCGTTCAGTAGACCGATAAACTTGTCTGTCACAGGTGTATACCTTCTTGTGTCTACATCTCTCGTCATGGGTAGACACAAGTGGATATACACACAAGACATGAAAGTTTATCTCCTTTAATGTGGGACAAGCCACATACTTAAGTGGTTAAACTTACAATGTCATTGTGATGATTTTGGTATAATGGTTTCACAAATTTTTCTCATACCAAGTTAGATTTGCACTCCGAAGGGTCAGATTGGTTTTTTTTATTTAAAATTTATCATCTTTAGATGATGATGTATTGTTTCCAGTTTAAGGAATGAGTCCGATAAATAAATAAAAATTGAGTTTGGCAAACATCACAAACACAAACCAAGGTCCTCAAGAAAAGAACCTCTAGGGAAACCATGTTTACTAGTTAATGCAGCTAATTCTGAGTACAACCTTGTCCAATGCTTGGTCCCAATAGTTTAAATGGACATATTTCCAGACATAAAGCATATTGTAACATAATAAAAGGGTCACTTTCATCTAAAATGCCTAAGGAGGAAAACTTAGGCAGCTAATTTGACCTATTCTGACAAATCATAACAGATAGTCTACAAAACTAGCCCTCATCAGAAGAAACTACAATAATGTATTATGATATTAACAATATTGGCATGGAACAAGCTAAATGCTAATCCAGGTTTGTCCCAAGAAGTCAATGACCTAACCAGAATTCAGATCCAACCCCAGATGGGAATTTTAGTCAATGAGTTTCTGCTTGTGAACCAATACAGAGTTATGCCTCAACTGAACTCCATACTTGTCCATAAAGAGATCATTGTTTTTGTTAGGTAAGATGGGCAGATGGCAGTTATGGAATATTTTCCAAACACTTTGTGGGTGATTGTTATTGGATTATAACTTTATAAGAACATTGGGGGAAGGGGACAACAATTCAATCTGCAGATTATACTGTCTGGTTCCAAGAACATTTCAGAGAAAATGTTAGACCATTTTACATGATCTTGCCGCCTATTTATTGATGTCCTTATCAGTATGAGTTGAAACCAAAATATTATGCTTGTTGATTACCCCCACGTTGTCTTGTTTGCCAGGTGTAAATTCTCTCTCTCTCTCTCTCTCTCTCTCTCTCTCCAAACTCCACCAAATATCATTCTCTCAAGCATCTCTCTTGAACAGTATTTCTATGATTTTTTTAAAGTTATTATGTTATTTTAATCCATCATTGCTTTGAACTTGGTCCCATCTGAGTTGTCCTTAGATGACTTCTTGCCGTATTTGTACAAATTAATTGTTTATCTAGAATATGATTAATGAGATCATTCCATTGTTTAAATTTATAAATGATTTCTGAGTTTCTTGTGGCATTGTTCATAGTTGGGGTATAAATATGCCACTTAGCTTCATTCCCACACCACTCATTCACAGAGCATCATATGTGAGAATCTCTTAATTGTTATTAATTAGAGTACAATAAAACCTTTGTGTTCCTTAATTAGGCTTCAAAGAGGGAATATGGAGCATATTGGAGTTGTTGCAGAGGGAGAATGGACCTCTCTGAGTGGGATGTACACTGCTGAGGAGGTAGATTTCATGGCTCAGTTGCTTGGAAATTTTCCATCTTCAAACCATCCAAGTGGCACATCAAGCATGAGAGTACCGGACGCTTTCTGGCCCGGCGATGAATCACTTACAAGGAACATGTCAGGCAACCATGAAGGTTCACATTATTCATCAGAAACTTCTCTTTCTGATTGCAGCAATAGGATTCTTTTTCCCACTTCAAGCAACGAAAGCTACTACTTGAGTAGTGATTCTCACCCCATGTTGGTGACAAGCAATAGTTCCATGTCTATTGATTTTGGTTCTGGGGATGGGATCAGAAACCTCAATTCCTATCTGATTGAAGTAAATGATCAATGCTTGAACCAAGAACCAAGTGAGGGAAATGCAGAAGAGTATGGTGGCAACCAGCCTGAAGCTGTGGCTCTGGGGAAGAGGAAATATGATATGACAGTACAAGAACCAGCCATGGATGATAAAAGTAACCCCTCCAAGAATTCTATGAAAGGAACTCAAATTTCAGAAAATGTGAGTAGATGCATAAGCATATTTTTCTTATCCTTCACTCAAACTTTTTACTTGGTTATAGAGTGTTTATGTTCTTTCTCTGATCATAAATTCCATGTGGGTTCAGATGAATAAGAGGAACATAAAGTCAAAGAAGAGCCTGCAGATCATAACTAGCAACAATGAAGAAGATGGCAATGCTGGCCCCAACAGACAGAGCTCAAGTAGTTGCTGCTCAGGAGATGACTCCAATATTGCTTTACATTCCCATGAGAATTCTCAGGAGCTGAGTCCAGGTAGTACTTCGACATCAAGCTTGAGTCCGAAAAAGGCTTCAGCTCTCAACTTGAGTGGAAAATCAAGAGCTAGAAGGGGGTCAGCCATTGATCCCCAAAGCCTCTATGCAAGGGTAAGTTCCTATAGGCTACAGACCCTGCTTGTTGCCTGTCTTAACCATGTAAAAAATTTGTTCCCTATAGATATGAAAAATAAACTAATTTTTCTATCCTTTTTTTGTTGCAGAAAAGAAGAGAGAAAATAAATGAGAGGCTGAGAGTTCTGCAGAACCTTGTCCCCAATGGAACAAAGGTAGGCAGTATGCCTTGTGAAACAATCTTCTTTTCCCAAGAGGTTGATGCAAAATTCTCAAATTTATCTATTTGGAATTGCAGGTTGATATTAGTACAATGCTTGAGGAAGCTGTCCATTATGTGAAGTTCTTACAGCTCCAAATTAAGGTAATAACCAAGAAAATTAACCCATGATGAGCAATAAGTTTTCGAATGTTCCAATTGAAACCTACATATCTGAAAATTGGTTGCTGATATTGATGTTTCCCCCCCTTGTTTGATCATTTGTAGCTGTTAAGCTCTGATGATATGTGGATGTATGCTCCCATCTGTTACAATGGAATGGACCTGGGACTTGATGTGAAGCTCACCTCACCAAAGCAATCATAGAAAGAAAACATGCTTTGGAACCCAAATATTTTCTCAACTCTCAAATTATGCAAGAAAGTTGAGAAAAATGTTGGTAAAAAGTTTTTAGGTTCTGCAGCATGCAGCATTTTCCATAAATTCTTTTTATAATGTAACAAACAGACATGACTCTGCTGTGAGCTCCACAACCAAAATTATTCTCCAATTTACTAATTTTGGGTTGAGTGGTTTGAGCATGTGGTGTATTATCTCATACATGGGATGAGAATCGAGATGATTGATTTGACATACTAATTATTCCGCAGTTGATATTCTTGTACTTCAGAATGAATATTGATGAATAAACATGATGTTTGGATAAACATTTTTTTAATGGAAGTTTCCAATGTGACTGAATATGAGATACTGTAGTAGTGTATGAGTAAATTTAGGTTTTAGCCAAAAAAAAAATTTCACTTTTGAAAAAAGCCAAAGCTTTTTCAAAAAAAACAGAAAAACCTCTCAACTTTCAAATCAAAGACATGCAAATGTAAAGGATTTTTTAGGAAATCCAAAAATAAATAAGGACAATTTTGTCCATTTTGGCTTCTTTTACAAATTTTCTCTCTCCTTTGTGTTTTTCCAAAGTCTCCCGTCTGTATGTGCTGAGATTTGTCAAATACAATCCAGCAAGGACAAATGTTGTGTGGTTCATTGACGTGTCATTGCCAATCCGCAAACACACCCCATGTTCTAACATATTTCGTGAGAATTCTGTGTTATTGAGATCTCACATTCACATCCAGACTTCTCCTCAAATCATTATGCATTGCAATTTCTATTGCTTGTAAATGCTCTTGTTCTTAATTTTCCATAGCATATGTCCCTATCCAGTTTTCGATGAAACAAACTACCTACAAAAGGATATCAACATGACCAATATGATCAACAAAATTGATCGAATTGATGATTACCCGTATAAAAATTTAGCACTTTCACGTTTAATAATGTATTATACATGTACGCACGTATTTCTCACGTTTAATTCACATATTTTTTACAAACATTTCAATAAGACACACAAAATTCATGTATTATACACATATTATCGAATAAAAATAATATATATATTTTTAAAAATGGTATAGCCGCCGCCCCGGTATACTCAGTATTTTCCTAATTATTTTTTCAAAGAAATAGTATAGCCGATCGGCTACTCCTTTTTTCTAAATTTTTTTAAAAATAGTATAGCCGGACTGGTTTGACACGTGGCGCGCAAGAGATGGGCGGGCTCTTATATATATATATAAATAGTATGGCCGTGCGGCTATACTGTTTAATGATTATTTAATATCAAAAAACAAAGTCCACAAAATATTTCAAAACAATTAATTACTATTTACCAAATAATTTACGAAATCATTAAAATATTTAAATATTCACTAAAGAAATAATAATTAAAATATAATAACTAATTAAAGTAATTAAAAAAGGATAGATATTACTTAATGACATATATATTAAATTAAAGAAACTGATTATTGTCCCAACATCACTTTTAACAAAAAGTGTACCAAACGCCAAACTGCTTTCTCTCACACCTTTGCCGGCATAGATCTATGCCGACGAAATTTAGTCGGGAGAGGTTTTAAAAAAAATATATATATAAAATTAGTATCTTTAGGTCAATTATTTATTTATTTTTTTTAATTTTATTTTCGGTAATTAAATAATATCTTAGCGTCATTTAATTACTTTCATTAGTAAATATGTTCTAACTATCATTTTGTTAGACACCCTTATGTAAACTTCATTGATATGATGAGGATGTTAAATGGAAAAGTATAGAGTGCATGAGAATTTGTAGATCAATTACCGATAGTACAAATATTTTCTTTCTGTTCGATATTTGTGTAATATCCCATACATAGGATGATTAATTTGACATACTTCAGAATGAATGATGATGTTGAATAATCATTTTTCTAGTGGAATTCTCCAATGGGTTCCAGTCCTACTTGGTTGTTCGTGAGTTTTTTCCCTATATATTTTAAGATTTCTTGCCTTTTTAATTATGAATTCTGAATTTTGAATTTTGTTTACTTGTTTCTGAGATTTCTTCTATATTTTTGGGTGATTTCTATAGATTTAGGATTTTCCTTTCATATGTTTGTAGGGCCTTTAATGCTTTGCTTAAGGCTCCCCAAAACTTCCAGATCGACTATGCTCATTTCATTATTCATTTTATGCGAGTAAGACTCATTTGTAAAAAAATTATATTGGAGGAACAGAGAATTGAACCTATGACCTAGCACGCATGGACATTGACAAAATGTGCTTGCAAAATACTTCAGTTGAAATTTACCAATGTAACAATCCCTAGGAATAATTTTTAGTTTTACAATTTCCAATGATTATATTATCACATCTCTTACATTACTATTTTATTTTTATTTATCACCATAAATATTTTGCACAAATAAATTTTCTTTAATGAAAAGGATCCTAGAAAAATACATCTATATAAAGTAAATTGATTTCTAACACCTACCACATGTATGAGGAAAAACACAAGTATTTGAGGGTTTAGGGTTTAGCCAAGGCCTTTTTTTGGTATTTTGAATATTTTACCATTCTTTGCTTTTTGCTTTATATATATAGATTTGTTCTAAATTGACATGTCGGGTCGAATCCAGTAATAACATTTGTCGATGAAAATAAGTAACTTTGCGTGTTAGTCCCTATCCAAATGTGACAGTCGTCTGAAAGTGACACAAAGACAAGTATTTTTTGTGGGACATTGACGTGTCATTTCCAATCCGCAAACGCCACATTTTCTAAATATATTCCGTTGTAATTCTATGTAAACAAGGTGCTATTCAAGTCTCACATTCATATTCACTTTTCCTGAAGTCATTGTTCTTTGCTTTTATATCATGTCTCTATTCAAACCTTTATTTTTGACCAAATACTACCTACAAAATGTAGAAAGATGACATATATGATTGACAAAATCGATCAAATCCATGATTTACCAGACACAGCCGCAGCCTCGATCACTTCTCATGGTATGCGTTGCCTGAAATGGTTAACACATCACATGGTAGCACCCATTTCCTATGTGGTTGTAGGAGATAGCCCTCCTATTCTTGCCTTGCCCTTCACTTGGCAACCATATGGACATGAACCATACGTACACGACCACATGGACAGGAAGCATGTTTGGTTAGCATTTACATCGTTCTATCTCAGTTTTTGTATCATGGATGAAGAATAAATATGGATGTGGAGAACAATCCTAACACATACAGGTAGCAATTGGTAAACGGCTTCTCCTATTTTGGAGTGTTTATTTATCACAGTGAACTACAAAACAGCAAGCAATGGCCATTACATTCACTCTAAATAAAATTTCAAGCGGCCATGCTTAAAACAACATTTGTTTTCTGCAAATAATATACCTTTAATTCTCCTTAGATCAGTAAGGTATAAATATGACATGAAGTCAGTCTCATCTTACAGGCAAACGTAAATTACAGAATAAATTTAAATCTGAGGAAAAGATTTCTGAGACTTTAGGATGGGAAGAGAGTTGTTTGCTACTACATCTAAAACTCCTTGCAATCTACCTTACTCCAAGGGATAGGCATGCTACAGTCCTAAAAAAACAAGTCATTCTAATCTGCACTCATTTACAATCCAACATGACGTAGAGTATAAAAGATTGGGCTCAAAATTCGAGACTGAAAATCGAAAGACGTATAACAATCCATATCCATGCTGCATCACATAAAATCCTCAACGTAATGGGGGTTTCCGTTTTCACGCTCGTTCATCGTTCACATGATTTGGAACTTCAGCTTGACTGTCCAGAGGCATATATTGTGCCATTATAGCTCTTATTTCTGAATCCATATATGACTGCAAAGGAACACAGAAAGTATCAACAACCTGAAAAGGATATATAAAAAAGACAGAAAAGATTTGTGTCCTAATAAAATCATGTTCCAAATAAAGCAGTTCGCATAGGTTAAAAGCCGATTAAAAGACTCCTAAATGCAATGTAAAGCAGAGCACATACTAAGACCAACCTAACAGTCTTTAAACCTTGAAGGGTTCAACACACACCATAGTTAAAGACACTAGGAAGATTTTTTGTCAATTTTGACAAAAAAGCTTCCCACATACAAGAGTTCCCGTGTATACAGACAAATTTGTTCCATAGGCTTGGTTACTTTTGGAGTTTCTTTAACACAGATAATTCCAAGGCAAGATAACCTTATTTGCCTGCCAATAGGTTGGGGTCAACACCACAGTCAATATGCAGGCCTGGCCCATAGCAAGAAATGGTTCTACAGTTCTACTGTACTTCACCATGACGTATGGGAATGTTCTAGGTTTACATATTCAAAAATCAAAGCCAATGAAGTGCAAAAGGTAATCTTTGCACAGCAGAGTATCATCTGATGCATTCAATAAAAGCAATTTTATCAAACTCAGGAAAACAGCCACCAATATCACCACCACAAAATGGAGACTCCAGAATTACCAATGATATATGAAATTTGCAAAAGAGAAATAAAGCACAGAAAGCTCACCCGCAATCTATATTTGTACACAAGATATGCCCCACCACCAGCCATAGCCAAGCCTATCAAAATAACCCACACAGCAGCCCATGCAGACTTTCCCCCACTAGCAGCCTTACCTGCACATTACCAAGGAGAGCACATCGAAATAAGCACTTGCATTATATATTTAGGACATGTAAAGTTGAGTTAAAAGCTTGAGTTTCTGGACTCACTTATGCAGGTATCATGGTCCTTGATATACAGAAGATTCCCACTACACGAGCAGTCATAGCTCCCCCAGGTATTTTTACAGCTACATTCAGGGCACTGGCAAGCTTTCTTCTCTTTGCATTCATCAACATCTAAGAAGAAAAAGAAAAAAGGTTTAGCAACATTTAGGTCCAAGATATTTCTTTGCAAACGCTTTTTCCTTTCTAATTTGATCCAACAAGAGTTTTGTTTTGTCCTAAT